TTTTCTTTTCTAAGACATCTCTAGTTTAATACAATTATTAGGAGAAGTAGGGAAGGATTCAAATCTGGGAGTACCTATCTCTCAAACAGATGTTCTTTTTTCATTTTTCTTGGCCATTTGTCTATCTTCTTCTAAAAAACTTTTGTTCATGTCTTTTGCCCACTTTTTGATGGGATTGTTTGTTTTCTTCTTGCTGATTTGTTTGAGTTCTTTGTGGATTTTGGATATCAGTCATTTGTTGGATATATAGATTGCAAATATTTTTTTCCAATTCTACAGGCTGTCTGTTCACTCTGTTGATTATTTCCTTTGCTATGCAGAAGCTTTTTAATTTAATTAAGTCCCGTGTATTTATTTTTGTTATTGCTATATTTGTCTTTGGGGTCTTAGTTATAAATTCTTTGCCTAGGCCAATGTCTGAAAGAGTTTTTCCTACATTTTCTTCTAAAATGTTTATGGTTTCATGCCTTACACTTAAGTCTTTAATTCATCTTGAATTAATTTTCGTATATGGCAAGAGGTGGGTATCCTGTTTCATTCCTCTGCATGTGGCTATCCAATTTTCCCAGCAACATCTATTGCATAGAGCTTCCTTTCCATATACTTCCAACAGTATATGTTGTTGTCTGCTTTGTTGAAGATCAGTTGGTTGTAGGTAGATGGCTTTATTTCTTTGTTCTCTATTCTGTCCCACTTTTATACCAGTCCTATTCTGTTTTGGTTACTAGAGCCTTGTAGCTCTAGTAATTTGAAGTCAGGTAATGCAATGCTTCCAGATTTGTTCTTTTTACTTAAGATAGCTTTGACTATTCAGGCTCTTTTTTGGTTCCAAATGAAGTTCAACATCATTAATCACTAATCCTCAGGGAAATGCAAATTAAAACTACAATGATATACCACCTCATCCCTATCAGAATGGCCATTATTAAAAAGTCAAAAAACAACAGATGCGGGCATGGATGCAGAATGCTGATACACCATTGGTGGGACTGCAAATTAGTACGACCTTTAAGGAAAACAGATGGGAGATTCCTCAAGGAAATAAATGTAGACCTACCATTCGATCTGGTGGTCCCACTGCTGGGTATCTGCCCAAAGGAAATGAAGTCATTTTGTCAAAAAGACACCAACACTCAAATGTTTATCGTGGCACAATTCACAATTGCAAAGACGTGGAATCAACCTAAATTCCCTTCAATTCTCAAGTGGATAAAGAAAATGTAAGATATATATATAATGAAGAACTAATCATCCACAAAAAGGAATGAAATAATGTCATATGCAGCAAGGTGGTGGGAACTAGAGACTATTATCCTAAGTGAAGTATCTCAGGAAGGGAAACCAAATACCATATATTCTCACTAATAAATGGGAGCTAATAGATGGATATACACAGGCACAGAGATAGGAAGGACATGAGAAACCAAAAAGTGGGAGGGTGGGAGGGTAAGTGTGGGATTAAAAATTTACCTATTTGGTACAATGAACACTATTGTAGTGATGGGCTCACCAAAAGCCCTGATTTGAGTGTTACACAAGATATCCTTATAACAAAAACACTTATACCCCCATAATTAATATTTTGAAATTGAATTTTTTAAAAAAGATGATCTTTTATAATAATGATAAAATATAAAATATTATATATAATATAAAGATGATCTTTTATAATAATAAATATATATAATAATATATAATAATAATGAGCACATTATTCAGCCCTTGAGATCCTCCATGCCCCCAGCTCCCACCACTCCCCTCAGCCCCCTTCTCCCTCTACCCTAGCACTATCTCTTTCCCCCTGGGGGTCCCCTGATGCTTCTTGGGTCCACAAGCTCCTCTTAGTTGTCCTGCCTGGGTTTACTGCCCCTGTAAAGACTCAGACTCCACATCTTGCTCATTCCATCTGCCATCACTTAGCAGATGACAACATCTGGATTCATCATTCACTCAGAGTCACTGCAGAGCAACAAGGGACTAATGGCCAAAACTCTGACCTCAGGCCTGAGGAATCCCACACACGTGTGTTACAGCATCCTCAGGTGGCTCATGCTTACTTTCCTAATTATCTCTCAGCCCCAGTACCCCATCAGCCTAAGGGTAGGGATAGTATCTTCATTCTCAAATCTTCTTTGCCCAGCACAGTATGTGCTGCCATCTCAACATAAATTGTGTAAACAATGAGTGGCTTTAATAAATGAAAAATCAAGAAAGTCTGAGACACAGATATGTGAACAGTCTTGGGGTTTCTTTGATCCCTTCTTTTGTCAAAACTCTTGACACCTGCCCTGCAGAAACAGAGGGCTTGTGGCTGCAGAGTTGATGAAGCTACCCTGGAACAAAACTCAACACCCTCACCCCTCCCAACTCCACCATCCATTTCCTGCCTGCAAACCAAAACAGGAAAAGTGTTCCAAGATTTGGCTGCTCCTCACTGAAGTCAGGATTCAACCCAAGTTGCTTTCTATTTCCCTGGTCTTCTCTGCGCAGGAATTTTTCCTAAGCTATGGGTTCAAGGCTACAAACTCTGAAATAAACAGAGAAAGGCTCATTTTTTAAAAAGTTGATGTAATCACATGCCATTATTTGCATTTTTACTTCTTCTAGAGTTGCTAAACTTTCCCCAAGATGTCCTAGAAACAAAACTAGGAGGGAGAGGGGAGGAGAGGATGGGTATATTCACACCTAATGAGTGCAATGCACACTGTCTGGGGGATGGACATGCTTAAAGTTCTGACTTGGGAGGGGCAAAGGCAATACATATAACCTAAACATTTGTGCCCCTGTGGTATGCTGAAGAAAAACATAACTAGCAGTTACATTGAGCCCCTCCCAGTTGTCCTCCAAGTCCTACTCAGAGATCCTGCTCAGTGCCCACCTGCAGTCTCTTCCTGCTGAGCCTTAGCTCTTGGGGCTGCCATTACTCCAATTCTGGAGAATGCATCTGCCCCGGCCATCCCAGGCTTTACATACACACAGGGTACAGTATCAGAGCTCCAGCTGCTGTCACTCTGCAGTGGCCAGAGCTCTGAAAACCACAAAGGAGCAGGGTTGGATGATCCAGTGAGCCACAGAGATAAGCCTCTTCCCAGTGTAATGTTTTTCCTCCTCCATTGTCATTCCACTTTCAGGGTTGAGAATTCCCATGGAACATTGATTATGATGGTAGGAATGGGAGATTTAATCATAGAATTTGCTGTTTAAGCTGGAAATCAGGCAGGCACCATTAATCCTAATGTTTTTTGTTTTTAAACTATGTACATCCATAAATAACTGGTTTTCAGCTGTCAGTATGTCCTGGTCTTTTATTAGCCTCATGTTGGGTCTAATTTCCAGAATTACCCTCACTGAGCAGAATCCTCAGGTATTGTCCCAACTACCATACTGTGATCATTATGAAGCTTCCAATCAGCTTCCCTGAACCTGCTTCTTGTTTTTCCTTTGTGACCTAGAATCATGGCATTTATTGATTTGATTGATACTAGAAAAAGTAGAGAATCCAAAAGATGCCCCTTTGTTATATCTTCTTAGAGCCTCCTAACTAGTGTATTAAACACTCTAAACTAAGTATGATTTTAAAAAATTGTCTAATTCAGTCACTGCCTTCTCCTATGCTGTGTTGAGCCTCCCTTGAAAATATCACAGGGAAATGCAACATTTCTTAAGTCACTTTTTTGGGTAATAAAATCCAGACAAGCCATATTTAATTCTGTGCAAAACTTCAAACTCAAATCTTCCCTTCCCCATGAGCACTGCCCAAGACTGTCCCAAGAAATTGTAGTTGGACAAGGACATGGCCGGCTCTTTCACTCATTCACCTCCCCCTCCTTCTCCTGAGCACCCCTTCCTTTTCCACTGTGCTGGGAGATGGGAAAGGGAAGAAGGATAATTTCACATTTGACTGTACCATCAGTCTGCTCTGTTGGTGGCTTGTTCCCTCTGTGTGGCAGGCTCCACATGAGGGCTGTCCTATAGGATGTCTCTGTGGGTTCTTCTGGGGCATCTGCAAAGATGTCCCCCCAGAACAGTTCTCAGACATGGGATGTGCATTCGGATTTGAGTCAGATACTCCCTAAGTTCTCACCTTCACTGGCACAAGCAACAGTCTCTCACTGAGATCTCTCTGCCCAACTGACAACCATCCTAAACACAACACCAGCAAGGCTGTGCAAGCTGGTCTTCCTTCCCAGATGTCCTCTGCTGCCCTGTCTCAATGCTCTGTTCCCTCTCTTCAATTCATTTTCTTCATTCAACAATATGTTTGGAGGGAAAATCAGCAAGTCAACTAATACAGCAGTCTTGCTCTTCGTTTCTTGCAGGGACCTTTAACATCTACAGGTTGTCATGAATCCTCCTCCTTCAGTTGACCTCTTTCGTGGGAGAGCAAGCAGTTCCCCTCCCCTGTGTAGGATAAGGGGAAAACCACTGCATTATCTTCCAGTGCAATAACTTCCCTATCTAAAAAATTCTTGTCAAAAGTCAGCCTTCTAAATATATAGCTGGAACAAAGAAATAGAGTTATATTTTTTCCTAGCCAGTACTGAAGAGATTTTCAGCAATCTCTTCTAGGCATACTTTAATATATGAGGATAAGTGGCATCTATTATTCTCAGCTTTTGGACTTCAGCCAACATTTCAATGTAAGAAGAAATTCCTAACTCAACATCCTCTTACACAGTGGATCCAACCAGAGCTTTTTTGTGGTATTAGGAACGTGTGTATACCTCAAAATACTATAACTTAATCTGAGGGGGAAATTAGAATTTATATTAGAAACTTAGACACACATATCTTCCAATTGGCGTTGAAGGTATGTGGCACTTTTTGGATACCTCTTCCCATTTTCCTTAAAAATGACTCAGCTGTTTGCCATGAAATTTGATTGTTGTGGCATAGGAGGGACAGAACTGAGAAAGAGCCATGAGTTGTAAGCAAAGGGAGAAGAATTTTGTGTTTGTTGATTCATCCTTGGTTGCTAATATAGAATGTCCAAAGTGCACTCCAAGGAGCTAAACCTGAGATCCTGCACTGCCTGTTCTCAGGGTACCAACTGGAATGACTATGTCATGAGATTCTCCCAAGGCTTATCCAGCCAGACCAGTCTCTGTATTTCCTTGATGTCTCGGGATCACAGGAAGCCGACTGCCACAGGATGGGGCTCCTGGGACTGGTGATTCTCGGGGAGTTGCCCTTGTGCTATGGGGGAAGTGACCAGTCCATGATCTTACAGCTATTGTCTGTCATCTCGGGATAAATGCTCTTCACGTGAGGACTGTGGAGCACCTGATCTCGTGAGGAAAAGGAGGGGTAAGAGACAGGAGCAACTCCTCAAGGTAGACATGAGATTAATGAGTGCCATATCCGGGTTTTGTGGGGAGCTCTGGGGAAGACTGGGAGCATCTGGGGAAGACAAGCACTGATTTCAGTAGGGCAGAGGGAAACAGAGTGTCTGATGTGGAGGTAGCAGGAAGGAGACTTCGGAGGGCAGCTGGGAGCAGTCGGGAATGAGGGTGGAAGAAAGCCTGGCAGATGTCCACTGTGTTCTGTGAAATAGAGGTAAAACTATTCATTGAAAGTCATCAAAAAGAATATTTTGATCCTTTGAAACTTGCCCAAACTGTGTGATTTATGTTCCCTTTTCAATTATTGCTCCCTCATCCTGCCTCCCCCACTGCCAATGACTCAGGGTTACAACACACTTGCCTCTGATGACATGAGATATGGAGAAATAAATGTTCACTTTTTATGTTCATGGATTATTTTACTTTCTTATAATCAGTATCATACATCCCTCAGGAAGCTAAATATGAACAACCTGGCTTTTTTCATATTAAGTATGAATCTTGTTATCTCAATATAACAAGATAACATTGTTGTAGGCTCTTTCACTATTTTGTCTGCCCATCCATAGAATCCTACGTTGGCTCTAGTTCTTTTAGAGGCCTTACCTGCCCCAGACTGGGCCTGGCTCCCTTCCTGCAACCATCACCTAACACATCTCATTCCCAGAGTCCAGTGGTCTCAGATCACCCAACATTCCCAAGAGTCAAACGCCAATGACATCAGAACAAATCATTCCCCTTCAGAATGTGCAGAGCAATAGGAAATCAATGTCCAAAAGACAGAGGTATTTGCAGACATTTTTGTCACAGGACAAATCACATGGTATCAGACAAATATGTTTATTTCTCAGATGTCAGTCCAGTTAAACTTGAAATGCTCAATTTCAGGAAATGTGTCATGTGCATCTCTACATTCTCACTGTAAAATGCAAGGGGCATAGCCCATGGTAAAGCATCTGAGCCCAGTGAGTAAAAGGAGAAGAAATGGTAGGTCCCCAACACACCTGGAGAGCAGTCATCAAGATTTCCTGGTTCCCTCTTGTCGGGGATCTTGGCAGGGATGCAGGAAGATGCTGGAGACCAGGGATGGGAGTGTCTGGCGCTGTCCCCTCCCAGGTTGGGAAAGCAGCAGCATGCTTGGGCTGTGCATCACAAACCCTGCCCAGGATAAAAGGGCTCCTGCCCTGGGCTCCTCATCCACAGCCTCCTCAGGAACAGCCTCCTCCTCTTCTCCTGCCTCCCTGTATTGGTGAGTGTCTAGCAGGGACAGATGCTCAGCTGGGAGCATCTGGGGAAGACAAGCACAGATTTTAGTAGAGAAGAGGGAAGCAGAGGTGTCTGATGAGGAGGTAGCAGGAAGGGGACTTTGGAGGGCAGCTGGGGGCAGTGGAGGGGACAATGAGCCAGGAACATCTGTGGAATGCATCAGAGTCCTGGTTCTCTGCAGTCCCTCCACTCTTTTCCTGAAAGATGTGCACATGCCAAGAGACAGTCTCTGGAAGTCACTATCTAATTGCCTGTATCTGCTTCAATGTTCCTGTGAAGACAGAAGGACTTGGGGCCCAGTTAGAAGATACCAGCATTCTTTTCTGGAAGGGGGACGAAGTAGAAAACAATATCCTGCCAGGTCCATTTAACTTGAGATCAGTTTCCATTGTCCTTCCTGAAGACCATAGCTCAGGAAGCAGTGGTTAAGAGGAAGGGCTTTCTAAAGCATTCACAAGAAGAGACACTGGCCTGAAGCTTTTGCACTGACCTTTTTCTTTGATCCATCCAGACTCACGGACCTCCTGCCGAGATGTCCTGCCAGCAGAACCAGCAGCAGTGCCAGCCCCCGCCCAAGTGCCCCTCACCCAAGTGTCCCCCGAAGAGCCCAGCGCAGTGTCTGCCCCCAGCCTCCGGCTGCGCTCCCAGCCCCGGGGGCTGCTCTGGCCCCAGCTCCGAGGGCGGCTGCTGCCTGAGCCACCACAGGCGCCGCAGGTCCCACCGCTGCCGGCGCCAGAGCTCCGACTCCTGCGAAGGGGGCAGCGGTCAGCAGGGCGGGGGCTGCTGCTGACCTGCATGCTGACGCTGAGACAAGCGACTTTTGAGGAAACGAAGTCCAAGGACCATCCCCAGTCTGCCTTGCTCCCTCCTCGTACTTGAATCTCTCTTTCCCTTTGGCCACTGCTGAGGAGTGCTCTGATCTCCCCCGGTGGCTCTTCCTGCCCATTCTCCAGGGACCCACAGAGTCTGCCAGGGCGTGTAATATCTGCCTAGCCAATTGTCACCACTTGTGTCTGACCCTGTGAAAAAATAAAGCTTTTGTTCTCTCAGCACACTGGGCACTCTCTGACTTTGCTTCCACCAGGCCGCTCTGTGGGCCTCTCCTCCCCTCTGCTCCTCCAGCCAGCAGCCCCGGGCAGAGGGAACAGACCCGACTCCAGGCCAGAAGAGCAGCAGTTCTAATGCGTCTGAAGGGGCCTGCAGGAAGGTTTTATCTTAGGGTGCTGGTTCAGAGCCCGCACCGATGGAAGGCCTGATTTTCCCCCGCGATGTGGTGTGGGACTCGCTCTAACTGGTGCCCAGACTCTGTTGGAAGGTGACGACTACCACTGGGATATGAAAAGGTATTCTAGGATCCCCAGCCACAAGACAGGGAGTGGGAAGACAAAGAATGCAGACACCAGCAGAAAAGTTGCTGAGAGACCACGGGAGGAAAGGAAGACCTGAGGGTGCAATGGTGAAAGTTAAAACCAACGAGATTGTGGATGCAGAGGAAAAAATGGGACTGAGTTTCTGTAAATAAGTGTCTTATGCCAGATTATTGGAAATAAGAAACAAGTGGAAGTAAGACATGGTGCTGGTTTTATAAATGGATATAAGCGTAAGATCAAATATTCACTTAGTGCTTATGATGAGCCAGACATTGTCCTAAGTATCTGACATATGCTCCCTCAATTAATCCTCCTGACAACGCTTTGTGGTAGGTGCTCTTACTATCTCGCGTTACAGGTAATAGAAACATAATTGCCGCATGCTGTCTTAACTTGCCAAGGTCGTACAGAAGTCTGGTTGCAGAGACCGCCAACACCACTGCCGTGCTATCCTGATTTGCTTCAAAGCAAGATATAGAGTTCTTTCTAAATTGCTTTTTTCAGCCTAGCTCAATGTATTTAACATTGCTTTTCGAACTCTATACCACTAAGACATAGCTTACCTATGTTTAGCTTACCTGGTTTAGCTTACACACTAAACCACGTAAGTCATAGCTTTAATAAAACCCTATTTGGGAGAGAAAAGTGCTGTCTTAGATCTTAGATGAAAGTGCAGTGATCAACTGACCACAATTCTTCACCCTGTGTTGAAACCATTACTTTGCATGTGAACCAACAGTGACATTTCCTACCGACTGAAAAATGTTGAGATGATAGTAAAGCAGAAATGATAAGACAAACTTAAACCAGTATATTCCTTTAAGTCAAGCTAAAAAATCAAAGAGATATCTTAGAATTCCACTTCTAGGTATGTACCCCAAAGAATTGAATACAGGGACTCAGGTATTTGTGCACCAGTGCTCATAGCAGCATTATTCACCATTGCCAAAAGGTGGCAGAACCCAACCACCTGTCAACAGATAAATGGATAAGCAAAATGTGGCATATGTATAAGATAACAATGGAATGTTATTCCGCTTTTTTTAAAAAAATGAAATTTTGGTACATGCTACCAACATGGATGAACTTTAAAAACGTTATGTTAGGTGAAATGAGCCAAACACCAGAGGACAAATAGTGTATGATTCCATTTACATGAGGTACCTAGCACAGTCAAATTCAGAGAGACAAAAAGTACAAGAGAAATTATCAGGGGCTTGGGGAAGAGGAGAATGGTGATTTATTATTTAATAGATACAGAATTTCTGTTTGAGATGATAAAAAAGTTCTAGAAATGGACAATGGCAATGATTGTACAACACTGTGAATGTACTTAATGCCACTGAATTATACACCAAAAAAATGGTTAAAACGATAAATTTTATGTTAAATATATTTTACCACAATTTTTAAAAATATTTTTTGGAACGAGACATTATAATAGAGGCTGAGCTAAAGTCAAACCACTGCAGTACCATAAAAATTAAAAGTTTACTAAAGCCCTTGGAAAGTGGCAAGCTGGAAATTCATTTTCCCTCCAATATTCATGGACATCCAGTTCTTTTGACTTTAGGAACAAAAAGTTACCAAAAACACTCCATAAAACAGGGTTAATGTCAGATATGCTCTGAAATATACAGCCCAGGTCAACTGGCTTAGACAGGATTTCTTGAAGATGTGAATACAGCTATGGGAATCACATTATGGCAGGCTTTTAGTTCACTGCTACACACAGGCTATTTGCTACCCCAAAGCATGAGAAATGCTTGGGTAGTACTCAGCCAGGAAACATGAAGGGTGGTGACTCATAATTTAAATAAAACACACACACACACACACACACACACACACTGATGTTCCAGGATGGAAAAACTTGGCCTCAGAGTAATATTTGTTTCCATTTATTTGAGAATTTTCTAGACATTTGTGGTCCCATAGCCATAGAAATGACTGATTTATATGGGACCACCTCACTAGAACATTTATGGAATTTATAAACCAAATTTATGATTGTACATGAGCAACCAGAAGAATGGTGTTCAGTCTTCAGGTTCCAGGTGGAAGAATTAGAATACGCAGCCTGCCAGGAGATGTGGAAATGAGTGTTGGAGATTCAGGACTACCTCAGGAAAACCACCAGATTCTAGATGTTGGTAAATCCAATCTGGGTTAAGAGAAAAGGGAACAGGGTCAATCAACAAATTTCATACCTGAAATATCAGAAAGATCTCAAGAAACATGAAGTAATGCATGTATGATCCACCTCTCTAAGTGGGGAAGTCCCAGGGGTAGAGAGAAATAGGCTCCCCAAATGTCATCAGATCCAACTCAGCACGTATTTATTCAACAATTCTCCTATGCCCTAAATATTTATTGAGCTAATCTGTGTGCTAGGCACCATTGTAGGCACTGAGGATAGCTGTTCCGTCCATATGAATCACTCCCATCTCTGCACTATGTCTCTTAGAGTCAAGTCTACAGTTAGCTAGATATCTACACAGTGCTCCTTACATTTGTCTTAATTTTTTAGTTTTATCACCTCAACACTTCCAGATTCCTAATATCTATTATTGACTTTACTTTAAACATCTCTACTTCATTGCATCACAATCACTTCATGGTTGTCTCCTTCTCTTAGATCCTCCTGACTTTACACACCCATTCAATGGACAAGCAGTTGTACATCCAAAATCACACTGGCTGGCAAGTGGCAGAGTTGAGGGATGTGTGTGGGGGGGTGTGTATATAATATATATACACACACATACATGCGTGTGTGTATATATATATATATATATATAGGGCATACTTGAGTTGTACTCAGTAATTCATAGATATTATTAGAAGAATCCAAAAAATGCATTAAATCCAAACTGCTCATGTCTGACCCCCAAATCTATGCTCTTGATTAAGTTACTCTTCTTCCTCCAGTTCTTTGCTTTATCTGACTTCCCACTTGGCCCTGTCACCCCCTAACATGGCAGTGTTACCCCTTCTTCCTCATGGTCCTGCTGCTGCCTCTTGGGTCCCATGAGTTGCTCCTGGAGGTCCCACATGGGCCAGCTGCTCCTGTGCAGAGATGGGTTCCACATCTCTATTCCTGCCACATGTCCAGGTCCTGTTGTCCAGGCCAATGACCTCATCTCATCCACCACCCCAAGTGAGGGCAGGTGACAAGATTGGGACTCATCATCCCTCAAGGTCACTGTCACCCAAAGTCTGTGTTAAAAATGTCTGTGAGATCTACGGAGGAAAGAAAAGGAGAAAACTTTATTTTCAGAAAGACAACTTGTAGATCGGGGAGCGTAGCCTCCAAGGAAACTGAAAGCACACTCTCTGAATAGTGAGGAAGTGAGGAATAGGAGGAAGTTGGCATCTATGTCTTTCAGGGTCTGTCTTATAGACATATTTAGCAGGTTTGGGAGAATTTATGAATATTTATGAGGGACGTAAAGAGCATGCATTGTGGGTAAACATAATGTAATATAAATTCTATGTTTACTTTAGGGTGGAGTTTTAACATTAAAATGAGGTGGGATTAGGTTCTGTATGTCAGAAGGTGAACTATAGAGCATAAAGGAGGCATAGAGACGTTCTGTGTTCAGTCTCTGTAAGCCGTCTGAGACTGGCTGGAGGTCTGTGGTTGTTTATTAGGAAAGAATGTTCCAAGGCTGGTCTCCTGTCAGAGTTGCTGGCAGGACCACAGGAGGGGTGCAGGAAGTACGACTGTCTGGCATCAGGCAGATCACCAGGGTTAGTTGGGAAACTCCTAGTTGTAGCTCTTTTGACAATGTTTTTCAAAGGCTAGTTTCTGCTCAATTACAAGAAAAAAAAACCTTTATGATAGTTAGTAATACAGGGATACAGGACCAACCCCTCTCCCTGTTGTGGCTGCTTAATTTCACTCCCAGTGTGTTTCATCTTAGCCACAAGGTGTCTCATCTGTCGGCCAGGGTCAGCCTAAGGCATGAGGACTTCCCACACACGTGTGTTACACAGTTTATCACATTGGATCCTAGCTCTTTGTGTGTTTATCTGTCTATTCCATTTACACTTTTAGTTAGAACAGAAATTATATTTTATTCATTTCCTCTTTGCTCAGAACAGTATGTGTAATAGAAAGGGGATCAGCACACGTTGAATGAGTGCATGAGTGAATGAATGAAAAATAAGTACTTCAAGCACACTGCAGTTCTGAAGGATAGGTAGCAGTTGGACTATGTGGGAGCTTTCTGAAACTTTTCTATCAGAAAAACTCTTGGCATCTGTCTAGGGAGAAGCAGAAAATTGGAGCTAGAGGGTGGGAACACAAGACATTCCCCTTCACTAAGACTCTCTGTCTGCACCCTGCCAATCCCACCACCCATTTCCTGCTAATAAACCAAAATACATATATATCTGAGTGGACAGAGAACCATGTGCTGGTCAGACCCCTCAGCCCAGAGTGTCGTGGGTCGGGAATTTTCCCCCAGCTGTAGCCACAGCTCTGGATGTACGTGTGAAGAGGCCATTACCCTGGGTTTTGTGATAATTTGCTTTTCAGTGAGCTGCCAGCTCTATGTCCTGTCAGCAAAATCAGCAAGCAGCAATGCCAACCCCCACTGGTGTGCCCCTAACATGCCCACCCAGGGCTCACCTCTGTGCCCTGCCACTGTCTCTCCCTGTGTGGTTCCAGCTCTGGG